GACTTGTGTCCATAGGCAGATTTTTTAAAATAAACAATAATTTACCTGTGTGTCTATTGAATCTATTTAGATAAAAAAAATTCATAGTTACAGAGGGCCGACTGTAACTACAGGAAAAGCAATACATTACAAGTATAATCCATTATATAAGCAAGAAGTACTTTCCAAAAAAAAATCAATCATATGCATTAGTGATATATAATCACTTATAACAAAAACGTAATTGATTATATCACTTAAATAAGTATAATTCATGAACCCTGTTGGTGGCTTGTGTGGGTAGCGTATTATTGTTTTATCCACATAATCAGATTCAAAACCCCTTATCTCCTATTCTCCTTTCCCTTTCCCTAATTTTCGAAGTTAAAAAAAATATAATTTATAAAAGAATCATATATATTAGTTTATACAGTATAGATTTTATAACACTTTTTCTCAAAACTATTATATTGAAACTTTGGAATTTTTATGTATGAGTTTATCTATCTTGTGTTTTAAGGGTACATGATAAAAAATATTAATTATATAATTATTATAGTATTTTTATCTTGAAAATAGTAAAATGAATAATTGTTTAATTATAAATCACATGTGTTAATTTTTTACTCATTCATTTTGAAATTAAGATTATAATTTATTTTTCAATTTAAAATTTCATATATTTTTTAAAAAATAATAATTATTATTTAATAATTAAATTTTATCTTGTATTTTAAATACACATAATAGATAAACGTTTTATATATATACACGAAGGGTCAAAATTCCAATGGTAGCCGGGTGACTTTCAATTATTGAGTTGTCTTTCCTGACTTTTTGGCAACCGAACCTGCCCTTGGAATTGTTCAATGGCGGTGGCGATTCTTTTTGTGTCCACGTCATATGCCACCTAAGCTCGTGGAAATCTGACGGACTGATCTTGGCCAATCAATGTCATCTTCCCTTATTTTTTTAATCCCAAAATAAACAAAAAAAAAAGAGAGGAGAAATTATAAATTAATTACATCATTACACGCATATTTTCTTTTTTCATGGAAATGATGTATACATATTTCTTAAGGCAAAAAAAATTTTCTATAGTAGTAATTAATTTTTTTTAATTAGCTTGTTTAATAATATACTAGTAGTAATTGATTATTGTAATTATTTATCATCAATAAATATATTTTTTATAAATTTATTCGTAAAATCTATAAAAGATAACTATTAACAAATTAACCAAAATACTCCAGTAAATAAATTTAAGCTATAGGAGTAATGGAGTACAGAAAAAAAAAAGTAAATAATTGAAAAAACAATTATTTCAATTTTTGACAGGTGTAATGGAGTACAGAAGAAAAAAAAGTAAAAAATTGAAAAAATGTTATTTCAATTATTTGCCAGGTGTAACAGGGTACCCGATCCCATGTCGTCGGGTCGGAAACACCATGAACAACAAGCTGCAAATCAGCCCAATCCCCACTGGAACAATATCCAAAACCTCCTTTATCTCCTTCTCCGGCGACGGATAAAAGCAGCTCACAACATTTCTATCTCTCAACGCCACGGCCCCAAACACTAACACCGACAGCACCGCATGAACCCCATCAATGAACCTGATTTTGTACTTGGTCAAGTCTGGCAAACCCGACCCGGTCGGGTCGGGATAGTCAAACAAGTACATCCCCTTAAACG